GGGGGGGCTTTGGAGCATGATACGCACTAGGACAAACACGAAGACAGGAAATTACTAGTTGAAAAATGTCGCACTGCTCATTACCTGCCATTGATCAGAATTCACCTCGTTTATTCTCACTTTTCAGGCTGCCCACGCTTGTGTACCATTTTTAAATCTGTCATTACCCGTTAGATTAGCATTATCTGGCCCCATATACCCTCGCGAAAAGCACGGTGGAGCCATAATAGAGAAGTTCCTTTTAATGATTTTCGAAATTTGCCGTCTTATTGTCAGACTCAGCACATAGATGCACTGTAGCCAAGAACGTGTCTTAAAAAACATCTTACTATTTCGCAGCCTTACTCTTATCAGGAAAGCAGAGCACGGCTGCAGATAAGGCGCACAATCCAACATCGCCTTTTCCTCTGGTAAATGAATTCAGGATGCAACTACCGATAAGGCCACTACACTCGCCGATTGATTAATCCAGTGGAGCAGTTTGGGGGCTATCTTGGGTAAAACTAGTGCTTAGCCAAGCTTCCTGGAGTCATTTGGAAGAGGAAAGGTGTTTGCACGCCCCAATGTTGGTTATCAGTAAGGTTTCAGTCATACACGTGCCTTTTAAAGTCAATCTTGATATTATAGCCCAACACTCACGTCATGGATTTTCGAAATAACTGTTGTGTTTTTTTAAAATGTTTTTGAAGTCCACTATAGATCTTTCCATGGTCCTCAAGCGCGCTTGGAAGCTCCTGAGAGTGTTATATCTCATTGAGAAATCCGATGTTCCTGCTGTCTCTATACCAACTGTAAGATATTGAATACATCATTAGCTATCGACACTAATCAGAGCGCAGGTTGTCGCGGCATTTGCAACTTCAGGAGTGCCCAGTGTGCCCTTGTTTATCAAGGGGGTAGTCTGGTGCCAATTGCATCTGTTGGCCTTTGAAGTATGTGCAGGAAGGTCATGCTCCGCTTTGAAACACGTTATACTGACATGTGCATAGACCAAGAACCAGGTGATTTGGACTCGACTTTGTAGATTCTGGTAGCCAATGCTAATGTAGTGAATGAGATTGTTGGTTTTGAAGAAGATCGCATTGCGAAACCGCATCGCCCACTTCCCTCTGGCCTCATTTCTTTAGAAGAAGCCCACACACTCTATCGCTGCCTTTTATTTAGCATGTGGATTGCGGCTTTACATTGTAACACCCTTGTTTGCACCATTGCATATACTGCCGCCATCATGATTTACAATGAAGGCGGATTCGCTGCTTTTGCCATTTTGAAGAATGTTGTTGGAGCTTTCGGTCTGATGTGCGAGTGTTGGGGAACTGCAGTTACTTTTTGTGAGCGTGCAATCCGTGCAGGTTTTTCATTCGAGACTATACTTATGTACGACAGCTGACGGGGAGGATCTGCATGGCAAGAAAGCCCTGTCAATTCTCATTTTCGGTCTCATTTTCTCAACTACTGTAAGTCCTTTGGTAGCAGGCAAGTGAAAGCTAAATTCATTCTCTTCGCGATAGGGACATGCCCAAGATTTCCGTGACCGATCAGCAGATGCAGTTATGGGCAGAAAGACGATACCGTTAGTCCTTTCTCAGCCCCTGGCCAGGTGGTCGCTTGCAGTCTTGATCGCGGCATGGACAGCAGGCCTGATTGTTTTTTGGCAACCTCCCGTGGTTATAAGTATCACTTTTTCCTTTCTTGCGCTTCGAACATTGGGTGGTTACCTTATGAGTTATGAGGAGAAAGATGATTCCGTGTCGTATGTTTATTACGGGGTAAGATTGTTCTTCGAAACTAAAACAGCCAGGAGATGCTAAGATAGCCGCAACAGATCTGGCTGCTGGGTAGTAACATCCTGCCCTTCTTTCCTCGAATGAGGGGAGAATTCAATTGAATAAGCTTGGTGCATGGAATGAGTTGAATGGATGATAGACCATCGATATGAGTGTGTTAGGGGAGTGGCAAAGAGTGTACAACAGGATGGGTCTATAGTAAACCCTTATGGTACCAGAAAGAGATTCATCGGTAGTCTCTGTGAATTTGAACAAGGACGAGCTGAGAATAGTAACCTGGTTCAGTCGTTTTATCGGTGATGGTCATAAGTCAGGGTAGGACGGCGGATATGCGCTAGCTCGACTAGTAAGTAGGAGACTGTCCGAGCTCCCCGCAGACGATGACAGCATAGATTATCACTCGAATCATAAACTTTGACCTGCAACAGCATACAGCGTCACCACGTCAATTGCCTAATCCAACATGGAACCGAGCATATCTAGATGTATCCGCACGTTTTCACAACGCTCGATACAAGCACCATGCCGTTCAGATGTGGCAAGACGCAGACCATCCTCATTTGCACGCCCATGTCACGCACAATGGCTGCACACAACGCGCCCCGCCCTTGTCCAGTCCCGAGCCCCGAAGACACGCGACCGAGGGCCGAAAAGTAATGAGGATACCCAGACAGATTTCAGTGCTCTGGATTTGCTCCGCAACACAGCGGCTCCTGCCACCTCCATCGACGCATGTACAGGCGATGGCTTCGCACTCAACAACCAAATGCGCATCAGCGGCAGCGGCATCCTACTGGTTGGCGGCGAGGCATTCCGATGGCGACCGTGGCTACATGAACAACGAAAGGAAGGCACAGTAGGAGAAGGGGGTGCGGGTGAAGATGCAATGACGGGCAAACTACTGAATGCTAAGAGACAGTGGGAGGTGCCAGAGCAGGCGTGGGGTGTGTTGGAGCTGGTATATCCTAAGCCTGGTATGCGGCAATATGGCCTTTCAGTTTTCCCAAAGACGCCGTTGGTCTAATAATACCTTGACAGATCTCCTAATCATCGGAACGGGTCCGAACACTACGCCTATTGCGCCTGCGGTTCGCAAGTATCTAAACGGCCTAGGCATTCGACTCGAGATCCAGGACACGAGGAATGCAGCTGCGCAATTCAACCTCCTCGCGACGGAGCGCGGAGTCGGACAGGTTGCGGCAGCGCTGATACCGATCGGGTGGAGAGAAGGGCGTTGAGAAGGAGACTAGCCAACGAATGACATGAACCTAAAAGAACACAAAAAGAGGTATCCAAGGGCACAAGCTGGCAGTGGCGGTGAACACGTATGAGTGAGTAGGCACATTTCGTTTGCACTCTTGTCATTTCACCTTCGATCCTGCGTGCTGCCACTGCTTTGTACATTTTCCAATCCTTTGTTCCTGGCTGCAAGCAGGCCTTTACATGCGGCATCACTTTATCCGTCGTTTTGTTAGCCATTCTACCTGCATAAGTCGCTTGCATTTTCCTAAAATCATTCAAGTTTCCCTGATTTCCTTTCGACAGCAAGCGCGCTTGTCATCAACGAGCAAAGTGACCTACCCGTACCGGTCCCAGCACCCTTTTGCCTGTCCCATTTCTTTGTCCTACCAGTGTTTCTTTGGTTGCCATCATCTCACAACGGCATAGGCATATGTGTCTCAATCATTTTGTTCATTGGCCATCAGCTGTATTCGCGCTCCTTCTTCGTCTGGCTGTGCGAATCTTCCAGAACACGTTCAACGCCGGTACAAGGTGGGGTTTCGGCACACGATTTGGGGTGGGAGACAGGGAAGCCGTCATGGAAACGACACCTTTACTTAAGCAAGACCACTCTAGTGCCTATCAACCCCATCGCAACATGAACTACCTTGCCATCCCACACACACCATCAGCCTTATCGAATCTTCATAACCCGAATCTTCATAACCCGCCGCTTCCGCTTGCACCCAACATCGGCTCCAGACGCTCGGCCCTCGCGTCCCTGCAGTCGGGTACCTTAAAGCTCGAGTCTTCCCTGGCTTTTATGCAAATTTCACAATCAGGCAATAGTTCACACAACATGAACATATCTAGTACCGAGAGGCAGTCGCTACGTGCCATACTTTCTCCCGTGTATGAGGACTTGGAAAAGCTCAAAACCCTGACACCCGAAAGTCTGCCGCCCTATAGCCCACACGTTCGAGCCAAGAGCCACGCTCAGATCCTCAAGCACAAGCTTCTACCTATTGGTCGGTTCATTGTCACCTATCTCGATCGTGTACCAGAACAAGGTCGAGGGGCCCTGGAGCTGCAATTGTGTCGCCTCATCGCTATGGAATACTGGCCACTGCCTATTGAAGACTTCACTCATTTGAAGGTCCAGGAAATATATCGAAATGCCCTCTTCAAGATTGGCCAGCACAGGGCAATTATTTCAGCAACGGACCATCACCCAACGAGTCCACTGCCGGGCCATTCACTTGCCAACCCATTTTCTCCCACAAACCCACCATCTTCCAGCTCGGCCAACGACACAGAGATGGACACTGGCGGTGGCAAGTCTCCAGACCGTATGCACCAGCTCAACTAGGGGACCGGTTCAGACATTGCCATAGCGGATTTACCAGTTGAAATGCGTTTGGTGGGCAAACGCTGGCTACTTGTGAGTTGTCAGATCAGTGACAGTATTCGGGTGTGATCGAGCAACTGGATCTGTGATCCGGGCCGATCAGAGCCGAGCGCCAAGGTCCACCCCTAGGCA